GGGAGGGGCCGGGGCGCGGGGGGTGCTGAGCTCTGCCCCGGCACCCGGGGACAGGATCCGGGGAACGGCTCCCAGCTGCGCCGGGCAGGAGGGAGCGTTTGTCCCCGGAGCGTGGTCAGAGCCCGGGACAGGCTCCTGGGGAGGGGGTCGGTGTTGGAGGGGCTTGGACAGTGCCCTTAGCACCACGCCTGAGGGGCCGGGCAGCTGGGCCGGGCGGTCCCTGCAGGGCCCTTCCCGCTGAACTCCCCTAGATTCTATTCCTGCTTAAACTTGAGGGGTTCTGCTGAGATTTTTGTTTATTTTCCGTCGCGACAGGGGACTTCTGTAGTGTAAAGTGTGTAATTGCTGTGAAAGTTCAGAGTAGCCTTTTAAAATGAAATGCTGCTGTGCAAATTTTAACTACAAACTGATTTTAACTAGACAGCAAACACTTAAACCTTCCCCAAAGGTCACTTCTTCGTGGAGCCTTTAGTGAACAGTGTGTGGTTGTGCCTTGATACACCCGAAGGGTGATGCTGCAGGGGGGTCAGTGTGCCTTGTCCTGGAGGACACCGAACTGTCCCTTCCTGAGCTGAATCCCTCTCTGGGATTGTAACCAGGGCCCTGATTGCTCTCCTGACGTACACAAAGGAGAGGCTTTATCCTCTGCAAAGAGCTGAAGATGAACTTTTAACAGGGCAGAGAGGGGCAGAGAAAGGGGCCCCAGCGTGCAGTTGGGGGTGGCAGGAGGGAGAGCCTGACCCTGCCTTGGTCCCCCTTGACTTTTCTCCCTGACAAAAACCTCTTTTTTCTCCTGCTGTCCCCATGTGACGCTCCATTTTCTTCTTTTGCTCAGCATGGATACATGGTTTATTTTTCTTGGGTTGCCCAAGTATCTTCAGAATTATCTGCTAAGCCTCCTAGGAATAGAAACCTCTTAATAGAGACGGATTGCAGTGACACACTTGTGCTTCATTTTTAAACTCCTGCCACCGGCTGGTGTTAAGCCTGGACTCGGTGCCTGCGGTCCCCAAGAGCTACACAGATCAAACAGAAAAGTCACCCAAACATAACTGTAGGAAAACTTGTGCTCTGCTGCAGCAGAGCCTTTAATTTTCAGCCCAGTATTATGTGTTGGGCTTGGCGAGCTCACGTTAGTGGGAGAGACTTAAGCATTTGCAGACCTAGATGGTTTGTCACGTGTTTAATAGCTGTCTGTTGACAGGATTTCTTTCTGCACCTTTTCTGGGTAGGAAAACACTGTGTGATTGCATAAGCCAAGACTTTATTATAAATGCTGTGTTGACATCTTTGTAACATGCTTAGTAAATAACCCATTTAGTGCTGTTGAGCGAGTCTGTATTGTAGTGTGGATGTGGGGATAAGCTGATTCCCTTTTAGGTACGTGTGTGAGCGTGTCTGTCATGGGTAAGAGCAGGGAAAGGACCGAGCAGGCGTGGGAACGCCGAGCTTGCTCTCTGCAGGCTCCTTCAGAGGTGCAGTCAGGTGTGGCCCAGCTCTTGCCAAATGCTGCTTCATTCCGAGACGGAGGATGTGAAGCTTGGCACTTAGGGGAGAAACAAGAGATAATGGGAGAAAGAGTACTGGTCT